CTCTCCCCCCCCCCCCCCCCCCCCCCCCCCCCCCCAACCCCCCCCCCTACCTCCCCGCATCCCCAAAAGTTTCTCAGCGGATTTGGGCTGTACTCAGCTTAGGTCTCAGCATGTAGACAATCGTCCCATCTGGATTCTTGTACCAAGTTTTCAAGTCTCATTTCTTCTATGGGTTAGCCACCTCTAAGTAGCACATCTCGCCGATCACGTCAGACTGACTGGAAAAGACAACTTATGCTTAACCTTTCTTTCTCCACATAGGTGACGGAGCATACTACATCTTTGATGTAGTGCCTTACAACTATCAGTTGTTTGTTTGCTAAGGACGATACTGCAACCCTTGCGCCGAACCCGTAAGGCGCAATCTGTCTGCACAGGGACAACTGATGTAACTCCTGGTTGATCCTATATCGGCTAAGGCCTCTGTTTTATGGTCATTTACTTTTGCCTCCACTGCGATCAACTCTCCCTTCGGGCCTTTTGCCACAATTCCTCAGGAGCACATACGCTTTAACAATTCTTCTTCTAGCTTGTCAAGGGACTCGGTCACGTTGCAAGAACAGGGCATCTTGCGCTTAGACAGTGACTGGAAGGGTAACCTTGGGTTGAGTAGGTAATGCCATAGCTGCCTGAGAGGTTGGGGGAGAACCGTCTAGAGTGGATGGGACTATTTCTCCATTCTCGATGGTACTATTTGTTCATCCTCTACATATAAAGTAGTCGGGTCTACACCTATTGGCTCGTTCAGTATCCCTTTCGACATTACTTCTTGATGCACCCCAATCCGTCACATGGCATACATGCCCCCTTAAAGCCTTAAAGTACCTGTCATTCCCAACCTTCTTTCCCAATCCCTCCTTTACCCATGCTTCCAACCTCTTACTGCTTGCCGATGGTTGGGTTAGGAGGAACTACTTCCTTGGCTTCTTGTGGTGCCTATGAGCCGCTTGTTGTTCCTTTGGCCTTCCATACCACGACTAACCTGCCATCCCAAGTTTTCTCTCTGACGTCATCTTGCTCTATAACCTCCAAAAGTGCCGATCCGTCATCATGAACGCAGCGCAGATGTCCCTATCTCTTACGGATTTGGATTACCTTCCTCTTGAACCCTCGCCTTGATCCTTTAATGGCCTTCGTTAACACTTCTCTAGATAGCCTCTATACCCCACGCTTTTTAGACCTCGTAGCCAATAGGTTTCCAACATTCTCAATGAGGGCCCTGATTTTTCCACCTTCTTGGTCATGGTTGATGCATTCTTGAAGCTATGTGTCTTATTCATTATGAACTTATTTGTGGCATCTAGTACCCTTCTATACTGAAAGTGGTAATGTACCAAGTCAATGAAATGTTCTAGCATGTAGTTCAATGTCCAACAACACATATCGCCGACACGCCCTTCCTCTACTAGCTTACCCATTCACCAGCTTTGTGCCGACCCTTGTAGGAAAGGTGTTGCAACTATTACCTCCCTATCCATAGGCGTATCCTTCAACCCAACAGAAGTTTGAGCAGTCACCAACCAACTATCTGGATTCTCCCCCTTGCCTCTTGTGGACACAATAAGCAATCTGAAGTAACCCTTTGTTTTTCATTTTGTATGTTCTGGTGTTGTTGATGGGCAATAAGAGGTCACGGGCTGCTCCACAAGTAGAGAGGTAAACAACAAAGCGCATGAACAACATCTTGTTGCTTGAATATCGGTTATCCGTATACATAGAATTTATGAACACGGAACAACTCCCTCGGTTGGATTCGGGGGATTCATTGTAGTCTTGGTTGATTTGGTAGGAGCATATGACCCTATAGTTGTCGTTGTTTTGGGAGAAGAGGGTTGTACAAAGGTCTGGAGTTGCATCACACTTGGACTACCGATCAAAAGGGGAACGCCAAAGAGAGGGTAAAAATTGTTGGGACAAAACGGTTGGACCACATGTACACGGAATTGGCCTTGATTGTGCTATATGGGACCTGTACTACTGTGTTTCTAGGAAAAATGCTATGGAGTCTTTGATGGAGCCCTCTTTGTTAGCTAGCAAATGTATTGCATCATGGAAACGCAATACTTTTTCTGCCCATCAAGAACGCCTCTCATCTAAGCTCGTCTACTCCTGCTTGTTCGTGTGCATCCCCTCTACAAAGGCCTTTCGTCGACGTGCTTCTCTCTCCTTCCTTTCCATCTCCTTACGATCATCCTCTGCCTTCATTTTGAGTTTGCTAATCTCTCCTTCCTTTCCGTCTCCCTACGATCATCCTCTGCCTCCTTTTTGAGTTCTTTACAATGTGCTACATATTTGTCAACTTGACTAGGCCACGCTTGAGCAGTGTGCATTGAAGCCTTTGTTGATGCACTAATTCATGACATTGCTCTTCTTTGCTCATGGGCTTGCCTTCGTCCTTCCCCATTTTTCGCTTCATAAGTCTTCTAACCGTAGGAACCTTACCAAATACATCCAGGTTTGTAACCTAGTTCTAGGATTTCTCATGAACAACACAAACCACCACAAACTAGCGCAAGAACAACTCACCGCTGCCTTCGACCGATAAGCAATTGATTGGGTGTGTGACAACAATGTTCACGCAAGATAATGCAGTGAAAAGGACCAGCCGTGAAATTATGATTCTAGATCTCTAGCAACTAGAGTTTATACGTATAATTAGTTCTATTCAAACCAGCGGAGAGTACTAATTAGTCCTGTTAGGATACTAACTAAGTTGTCCACCGACCCTAGGCATACCGATGGTGCTTGTCCTTTTAACTAATCAAACCAACCCGTAATTACCAAAAATGGAAACTGTCATGGTTGTCACAAACCCGAACACCGGACAAATCCAGATGTTTGGAACCGGGCAAGAATCAGGACATCCAGACATCCCATCCATCCATCCACATCCATCCATCCATCCATCCATCCATCAATACATCAATCAATTGATCAATCGATCAATCGATCAATCAAACAATGTGATATTCTGATTGATTGATTGATTAATCGATTGATTGATTGATCGATTGTTGACCATTTAGCCACACGTTTCCAAAGCACAATAAGAAAGCGGCAAAAAAAAACGTAAAACTTTCGAAGGAAGAGAGAGAGAGAAAGAGAGTCACCTGTCCCTCTACATTCAACCCTCCTCCTTGCCCATCCTTGCACCTTTGCGAGAAAGCGGCCAAGCAGGAGGGCTCGAAAAATGAATCCTTCCCACTACCTCCCCAGCCCAACGGCAGCAGCCTCTGACGACCGAAAACTGGCCCCGACATTTTTAAGGGGGCGCCGACAACTTGGAAAACCACCTGGGCAACCCCTTTTTTTTTCGAATTTCTATTTGAGCACACGTGGTTAACCAGGGGTGTTATTTTCGACGAATTTTGCACCGAATTGCACTAAAACTGTCATATTGTGCTGATTTTTTGCTTTTTTCTTGTTTTTATTTTTGTGTTATATATATGTGCTTTAGGGTACGTCATGTGTGCAGTTTTGACATGTTTGGATCAATAATGAAAAAGTTGGCATTTTGTTGAATTCGTTGGACGCTTCATTTTGACTCGAACAGTCTTTGTGTTAGGGTTTCATAGTGTTTTTTTGTTTTTTTTTTCGTTTTTTTTGGCCTGTTTCCTTTTTTTATGTTTGCACTATGGTCTCATATCGTTTGTTTTTTTTAATTTCGATGAAATTTGCACTGCAATTGCCAACGAAAACGACGAATATTTGGGGCCCCGTTAACCGTCTATCTGGACCTACCCAACCGGACCCCGTACCCGAACTTCTGGACCCAGCCTGTCTGCATTGGGATGACACATCCAGTTGGCAACCGTCCAAAATGTATGACAAGCGGGAATGAACAAATTCTATTAGCATGAAAAAGGGGTGTGGCAGGTAAAACACCTGTGGGCAGAAGAACGGGGGGAATGGCGAACGGAACAAGAACTTCGGAACACCCTAAAAGGATGTCACGCTCTCGCAGACAACCTAAGTTTAATCCAGAAGAGCATCCCACCCCTATGGCTCCACCTTTTGAAAGAAGACTTCTCCTGGAAACCAGGGGACTGAGGTATACTCATATCCCAAACTTCACCGAACAGAGCATACCGGTTCTCGCATCCCGCACCTCAACCACCGGCTACCTTTCCAAATTCTACTCCTATCCCATCGCCAATCACAACCTCCAGGAACTAGCCATTCTCAACAGAGAACCTTCGCTAGAGACGATAGAGTCCTTCCTTCTTCGAAAAGTGAGGGTAACGAAAACCAAACCATGGATAATCTTCCAGCCTGGCCTCAGCATAACGATCCTAAGGAGTGATATGGAAACAAAGCAAAACCGAAAAAAACAAAACGATACTGGATTACGACGTCAAATTCGGGTACAACCTAGGCCTACTAACCACGGACCCCAACCCCAAACTCGATGACAGATGGAGAGAGACACTGATCCTAGAGCCAACAGCCTCAATATCCATCCCCTAGACAAAATACCTCCCCATCAGACCAGCTAGAATCCGTAGCTTACAGTGGCTCATAGCCCATGCAGCACTCCCTGTCTACCAGTGGCTCCACAAAAGAAGAAAACTCTCGGATCCCGACAACTCTGAACTATGCGTAATGTGCGATGACAATGCCCCCTGAAGACATCCCCCACTGCCTCCTCTACTGCAGCCAGGCCGCCTGGATATGGAACGAAGTCCGAAACCTATGGTCCCACCTCTTCTCATCCCCTCCCCACAACCTCACCCCGCTGAACATCCTACTTCTATCTAACATCCCCGACAGCCTCAGAAGTGGAAAAGCGGTTTGGTTCTACATGATCAGGAAACTAGCCCTGTGGGTCATATGGAAAAGGAGATGTACCAGGACAATCGAGGGTTCAGATTCTTCAGAAGTGGCCAAGGAGGAAATATGGATCCTGCTGCTGAGGATGGTGGAAACAGAGATCCGATGCAAATGGAGGAGTATATCGACAGCAATGAGAAGCAAACCTGAAAGACTCGCACTCAGGAGATAAATCTTCGTGAGAGACTGGTTGCTACAGGGGAAGATCACGACAGTATCAGACAATAAGTTACACTGGAAGAAATGGGCCACTACAACAATGATAAGGAATGTAGCCCCGAGAGGTACAAATTGAGGTTCTAGCCTCAGACGGATAGACATCGCTCCCGGTTTTTTTGTGCTTCAATACCTATTCGACAAAACCAACAGGGTATCTGAGAGGAAAGCTAGGGTAGAGCAAGCTGACAATCAATCCTCCCATACAGGAGTAATCAATGCTGGTCAGGGTTCCTTCGGCCAGACGGTAGGAAGCGTGAGTGTGTACTATGTTGTATTCAATCTTGACTTGCCGGGGAAATAGGAACCGGACTGACACTCCCCAGAATGGATACGGAGCCAGGGCCATAAGGACCTGTTTAATATTATAATATTATTATATATATAAACCGATGCCTTTCCACTTGGCTATACTCCAATGAGATAACGCGACCATAACTACAAACTAAAACATAACTACAAACTAAAAGAGCACACTTTGCGAAACAAAGAATAAAAACAAAAAACGGGCACATTGCAAAAATAAATAAAAAAAAACAAAAAGAAAAAGCAAGGGCAGATTGAAACCATTAAATTTCTCATTCTTCTTTGAACTCCACCTYCACTGTGCCTCTCACGTGCAAGGCTCGCCACGTTGATGAAGTTGAGCGCGAGCTGCCCCCATCCCCGTATGCCATAACAGCCCACTTGGACGCTGTGAGAGAGGCAGAGTGAAGGGGAAGGTGTTAAACACAGGGAAAAGCGACAAAGAGAGGACAAACAAAGAATGGAAGAGGGAAGATAC